GGGGGGGGCAGCCGCTGTTGCGGAATTCTCCATGTCTGGGAAATAAAAAAAAAAAAAACCACAAATGTTTTGACCCCTTTGCGGGCGTGGCGTGAAACACAAGGGCTGCCCGTTGGAGAGCAGTGCCCAGCAAGAGGGGGAAAATCAAATGTTTGCGTCATCAGGCCACGGCACTTTATATATAACGGTATATATATACACTTGCCCAGTCGGCCCTTTGCTACGGTTATTTCGGTTTTTGAACAAACTATACAACAATAAGAAAACCGCCTCTCTCGCCCACCGGTGTCCACCACGGCCTTTTTGTGTGTCAAGAATAAAAGAAGAGGAGGAAAAAAAAAAGATACTCTCACACCCCCCCGCAGAGGGGGAAAAAAACCGTTGGCCAAAGCAATTTACCTAATGCCGGCTCATGCACCGAAACGGTACCCCAAATGTCTCGTACTAGCCTTGAACATGCATAGTTCCATCACTGGAAAAAAAAGACAGAAAAGAAAATGGAGTAAAGGATGCACGCCCAGCTTTCCAAATACCAGGTGGCTCTCTCTCTGCCCGCGATGGCCGGGCCCGGCCTGAGCTTCGGATCCGACTGCGCGTGCCATCGTGAGGGGAAAGGCCGTTGACATGTCTCACCCACACACTGCGGTGTTGGGTCTGTCGCTGCTTTTTTCCCCTTTTTTGTTTTGCTGCCCACTCTGTCGCCAGGGCCGCTTCACGTGCTTTTTTCCGGTTGAAGACGTTATCCTGCTGCGCCTGTGCGTTTTTATTCTCCGGCGGCAAGCAACTCGCAGTCATGTTGGCAACATGGCGCAAACACAAGGGCCAAATTTTGCAGAAAAGCCGAAATTGTACATTGTCAAATATTTGTAATTTGGGAAATGGCAAGAACAAAATGTGTATTGCGTGGTATCACTCCAAGTATGTTTCATATGCGTATCGCTAACCACCGTCGTGTCCTGCAAGGTCAAGTTGCCGTTGCCGGCGTCATCTTCTGCCAAGAAACTCACATGCGGTAATGTATTCTCCCCAGGTAATAGTAGAAGAAAAGAAAGAAGGAAAGAAACAGCGTAAAAATGCATACATGAAAGAGAGGCAATGCAAATGAAAACAGCCACAAAAGGAAAAGAGAAGAAAAAAAAAGACGAACAAGATAAAACGAAACTTATCATTACATTACAATGGACGCTATGCATCGCCCATGCCCCTCATCTGCATGTTGATTGAAAAGAAAAGAGAAAAAAAAATAGATCAAAGAGCTGGAGTATCATGGCGAATGAAGGATCGACAATCGTCAAGGCTCAGCCGGTTCTTTCTGACCTGCCACTCTGGCTGGGGTTGCACAACATCATGCTCAGGTGTTGCGAGATTGGTCCCCGGACCAAGCAATGACGTGAATAGTTGCTCGTCAACATTCTCTTGGACGTGATGAACCCCGCCTTTTTCTTTTTTCAAAACATTCAAAGACAAAGAAAACAGAATGCCATGAATGCTCCACTCTCAACGACTCCAACCACCATCATACTCTCGTGCGTGTAGTTTCAGCATCAGCATCAGCATCAGTCATATGCTCTTCCCCACGCTCCGCATGCCCGGTAGCCAAGAGCAAAGGCAACAACAGGTCGCAACTCATCGATCGTGCCGGACTCTCAGACGATGAGACCCAGATCATTGGGATTTCTCTCGGCCCTATCCCACCCAACCACGGCCGCTTGGCCGTTGCACAATGTCTCCACCAAGGTCATTGGGTAACACAAAGGATTGTGTGTTATCCAAGCTCTCCATCAAGTTCGACCTGTGTTTGGTTGCTGGCATGCCTTTGCCAAGAGCTGTCAAAACCAGGGTTGTCGCGTTTCGGTAGGCCAGAGTCCCCTTGCCACGCAAAGAAACACAAATCCTCCCCTCCTCCCAACTTGTCACCTACAACGGCTGTGCCACAATTCCACAACTTGCTGTAGGGATTGACTGAGGTTAAGCCATGCAAATCTCCAATTCCTAAGCAGAGACCCCCCCGGCCCCCTGCTGTGCCCGGCCCCAGTTCGCAAAAAAAAAAAAGAAAAAATGACAAATGATCCCCCCCATGTCCCCAGACCTCCAACGTGCAGACAGACCCTCCCGCCCATGCGACCGATCGGCCGGGAAATACTACAGAGCCGTTGGAAGGTCGCCGACTGTCTCGCCTAACACCATGTCCCGCTACTGGCCAGTTTGATTCCACCAGAGGTATGAGCTCCCCTGCAAGGGCTGATAGGGACGACAAGTCGGCAACGTAGACACACAGGCCTCGGCGTCTTCATACTTGACACTAGCAAGTCGTTGGACCTCGCCGGGACCAAATGCCATATCAAGAGCCGGCGTTCTGGTACTCGGTGCAGTTGGCTCGTCGCAAGGCGCGGCGTGATTGGCGTGGCGTGCGTTACTGCTGTTGGCCATTACCTGTTGCGAATTGGAATCCGCTGGTCTCAGCTGCTGTGGCTCAGAAGTGGCATCACCTCCACATCTGCCCATGATTGCTTCTCGGTAGGCGTCAAGTGACGTATACTGAGGCATGGCAGTATACTGACCAGGCAGAGCAGGTCTCATGCCATAGATTTCAGCCACTGAGGCATAGGTGGGCGAAACTGCTCGGAAATCAAGCACTTGCTGAGATTGGTGAGGGAATTGCATCATTTGTCCGTACGGACTTGTTCTTCCCACTCGGGCAGCTCTCGTAGCGCATCCTCCCTTCCGGCCAGACAGTGCTCGTTTGACCGAGTGCCCAACGGCCCATGTCTCGACGCCATTTCGTCCTGCGGACCCGGCTCGTTTCGCATAGGATTTTTGTCGGTATCTTGTGGTGCTCTGCACTCCATCGCGAACAGCCCAGTCCTCCAGCACCCATTCGTTTACCCGTTTTGACGCCTCAGTTGTGCTCGACAGATTCCGTGAAGCCTTGGAGACTACCTTGTCACGTTTTCTAAACGCCTATGGAGCAAAAAATAAAATCAGTTAGCTCCAAGAGATTCTACAGGACTGTGATGCAAAATTAGATGGAGACCAAGGGGAATTTCCTCACTGCGTTCATGCTCAGGTTGTGCCGGATGCTGTTTTGCCAACCACCAGTCTCCGTAACTGCCTTGGTAGTATGTTCTCGGAACCACTGGTAGATTTCCTGTAATGTCATTGAATAGTTTGGGCGAGTCATGAATGCTTTATAGATCAGCTTCGCATATGGCTCGTCAGGCTTCTCTGTTTCCCCAGAATCGGTCGAGTCTGACGGCGGAGATGCAAAAGAAGAAGGAACCGATCGAGACTTTTGACGATTCGTAGTCGTTGTGTCCTTTTGCGTGTCCATTGACGCTGGCGAGTCGACCGCAGAGTCAGATTGAGACGCTGGACTGTTCCCAAATGTGTTCATCGACGGCGTGATATCAACTCCCCACAGGTGGCTGCTTGGGTCTGCATTATCACAGTTGAGGGCAAGAAGAAATCCGTCCGTGCTATCCAGACCAAGATCGGCTGATGGACTCGGCGTGGAGATTTTGGGGAGATCCTGGACATGGCCGGACACTCCTTGAGCTTGATACTGTTCCAAAGGTTGATCCATAGTAGGCACGGAAGCACACCACCCGCCAATGGGAGATGCTGTTGAAGTGCATTCCGCGGCCAAACAGTTACACGGTATGGTAAAGTCCTGAACGTAGTAGTTGGTGTCAACATCAGTCGGAGCCAGAGGTGGCGATGGCCAAACCACACGGCCCTTTGAATGGCCAGAAGTCATGACGTTGCTTTTATAGCCGGAGGATGAAGGTGTCGTTTTCTGTACAGTCATGTTGCCGACCTCGTTGAGATGGGATGTCTCGCAAAAAGAAATGCTTTGCGCAAAGGCACAGGGATTCTTATACGTGAGTTGAGTCGCAGCAAACTCCGCCATGGTGACTGGCTTCTGCTGCTCAACTCTAACAACTTCCAAAGAGTTCGTGTAGCTCACGGGATATCTTTTGTCAGAGAATGGTGGACCCATCTGTCTTTTGAGGTCAACCAAGGCCGAAGCTCACACCTCTGTACTTCCCGTCCAGTCTTCCCGTCCAAAAGCAGAGTCTACTCCGTATATGTCCGCCTTGGCTAGACAAATGAAGTGGTGCTATTTCTGCGTGTAGATATGTATGTGTGGATTGGAGATGCACGTCGGAGCGCTTGATAGGTGTCGATGGTCGTCACATGCAGCGGTAACACACTGCATAAGTTGACTCAGTTGTATAAGAGGACCCGTTGAGATCAAGAACAATAATGTATGGATACAACGAGAAAGGGGTGATTTGCCAGCTGCAACAAAGACGCATATAAATCGTCTTGACCCGCGATATCTAGGAATGGAAAAAATACAGGAAGGTGGTCAGGTTCTTTCAAATGGACTGAGAAGTCGTTATAATAGGAATCAACGGCCTCAACTAGCCTTAAAGCCATGGCTCTCGCGGACAACTTCTCGCCTGGGCGTTGTTCTATCCATCCAAGGCTGTTGGCGGGCACCAAGCCGGCCGTTCTGGGGAGGGCGTGCACCATGGCAAAAGGGCTTGAGCCTGAGTAGCCTGATACAAGCATTCACCAATGTAGTACACTCGAAAAAAAAACGCCAGTCGACCCATGTTTCTGTGTCGTAGGTATTCAGTATGCACGCACGCACGTGTGTACCTCCATTTGTGCGCACATCTGGATGCGCTGAGCACGGACGAGGTAAACCTGGTATTCGGGGCATGACACCGTAGACGGGCCGGGTGATGGCCCTTCCTCCCTGCCCAAAAATTGGCACGAAACCTCAACGTCTAACGTTCGGCATGTATTTCGAGCAAGTCGTCCTTTCGGATGGGCCCGCGAGGCCAAGAGGTGAGGTGTGCAGTTCGCCCTCGTCCTCACAGACCCTTCGCAGGGGCGTGTGGTGGTTGGGCCTGGTGAGGTGTGTCCGGGGTGGGCAATCAAGCAAGGATTTCGACCAGAGGGCTGTGTGAGACAGGGCAAAGCTGTAAATGAGCCTGGGCGATTTCACCAAACGAAGGCTTGTGTAACCAGGAGGGCATTGGAGGACACTGGGGGAGACCAAATTGTTGGAAACGACTGCACTTGGGGAGCCCGTAAGGCTCTGTCTTCCAGTCTCCAAAGTCATTGAGGCCTGCGCGCGGCACAAGTTGTACAAGTTCGCATCTTGCAATGGCCGCCAGGAATCCGTCCATGCAGGCCATCTCAGATCAACATCCAACGTTAGCCGAAACCCGGAGGGCTGGAACCCAATAGCATGGTGATCCCAAGTTTCCAGAGATGCAGCATGCAGGGAAGACGGCGAGTTTCTAGAATCAGGCTCCTTGTCCACGAACCCTTAGCCTGCCTGACCAGGCTGGGCCGTGATCCTTGTCAGAGCAGCTCGAGTTTGCGGGAAAACCCCCGAATAGTAGATCAGGGATGCATGTAAGATTCGGCTGCAGGTACTTAGTTTGGTCATGTATTACGCCTCCAGCCCAGCTCTTGTAATGGAGAGGACTTTGGTTGCCAAACGGCAATGATTCCACCAGGCGACACCACACCAATCCAGACAGTGTCCAGTATGTGACATCCCCCTGCATCAGAGAATTCAGCCATCAGTAGTGCATCTGAACGAACAGTGCCGAAGAAAAGAAAAAGTAAAGAATTCCATGGGATCTATTTCATATTCGCAGGCGTGGGTGGGTAATGCGGCGCCCCTCGTCAACACCGACACGCTGGTCAAAAGAAAGTAAGTACAGTCCATACCTGCGTGGTTGAATGACGACGACGCCGCTATCTGTCTGATACATGGTGGGGACAGCGAATGCAAGTAATAAAGAATCAGGGATGAACATGAGGCACGGCTGCACGCCAGCAGCGTGGCACAAGGGATCGACGGGAAGCCAACAGCCGATAAGCAGAACCTGGTGGTCTATTTGAACAAATTGCGTTGCCCGGAACCTGCATATTGTGGTGGTCATCCCAAGTGATAGCAGCACGACAACACCACGTAAGATGGTCCTGCAGAGGCGATCAATGAGTCGCTCTCCCCCGGTCACTCCGCTGCTCAACCAGAAATCAGTCAAGCGGCCGCGCCCCGGCAAACGACTGTGCGGCTGAGAAAACTATGCAAGCCTGCAAACATCTTCCCAGTCTACTTGCGGTAGAATATCTGCAGGGCTCAGATTAGACGCCTTTCCAGAACAACGTGGAGGGGGCTTCGAGCGCTTACCTTTTTGAACTGAAAATGCAGTTGCAAGATGCCCTTGACAAAAATTAGTACGTGACAAAGGCCTGCACTGAAAATCGAGGTTGGTCAAAGAATTGCTGGATTTAGCCGTACCTTTTCAAACGAACTCTTGAATCCACGGTCCCTCTTTGCACTATAATCCCATTCTCTATCCACAATTCGAAAGGCAATATCCTCGTAAGGCGGTCCCGCTATGAATCGAATAAGGCATGTATCGTCTTCACCAGCCGCTGCAAACGACTCTCCTTTCCTCCTTCCATGCTCGCGGATAATCTTGAAAGTGGGTGCTTTCGTTTTATCAATAAGATCAGGATAAAATATATTAAACTTGTAACCCTGAACGACTTTCGGCGGCGGATTGTCGTGGTCGTAATGGGTTTGGTTGTACTTATTCCATTCGTACCCCATCTGAACTCTGTTGAAGTATCTCGGCTTGCGTGCTTTGTATGTGTCTGCCCATTGAGGTTTCGAGCCAGTAGGTACTTGTTCTTCCGCGTTGAAAACCTCTTCATTCTCGGAGACACCCCTCGCGGCTTCTCGGTCATAGAGGGCGTTGGTGACGTTGGAAGCATCTTCATTCGCCACCGGCTGGGGAGAAGGTTGCGGTCCAGAAGGAACGGCTGCATTCGAAATTGCTTTTGAGTCTTGCTTCAGCCGTGCAACCGGCCCTCGTGTTTTCAGCATTCCGGCCCGCTTCTCTTTGATCTCATTGTAAATTCGCGTCAAAGTGGCCTTGGACTTCCAAACCAAAAGATGGCGCAACAACTGTTCCCAGTAATCAGTGTCGATATTTTCATCACTCCGCAACTTGGCCTTGATTTGCTTCTCCAGGGCCTCTAATTGATCATACGATTTCGGGCTTAAAATGCGATCAATGTCGTCCACGACGCTATTTACCACACGCCCCTCTCGAGTATTCGTATCGATTTTCGACTTCAGGTCCGCACAGATTGTACGCAAGGCTTCCCAGTATTGTCGATTTCGTCTGTCCGTCTCAAGAATATGATAGGAAGAAATATCCGATTCGAGTTCCTTGAGTTGAGCCAAGGTCAACCCCTGGACAATCGCTTCCGGTGCATCAAGTTCAATGTCTATATCTCCCTCGTCATCATCGAAAATATCTCGTTCCTCGTCAATATAGCGCAGATTAAAGGCGAGCCGGTCGATTGGTTTCGCTCGTCCCTCACGAACCCGGATGTCTGCCTTCTTCTTGGACTGTTTCAGCACAAATTTATCTTCATCCGCTACGAACTTCCTCGACTGCTCTTCTTCTGTAAGGTACTTGGCTGCATTTTGAGCCGTCTTGGAAGGCCCTGGTTTTGTGGATTTTGATATTCGGTTGTTCGCGTCGACGCGGACAGATGTTGCATCGCGGCGACTGGGAGACCTCCGGTCGTCAATCATTGCCCGGCGACCAGGATCCATTGCAGCGCTTGACAAAAGTTCTTCGTGTCTGTTACCGTTGGCCTTGTTTCGCGAAAAGGTTGGAGACTGATGCATACAGCAAGTAAACAAAGGTCGGGATGGGTTTCGCAGTTGCCAGCTGAGATCGAAAATAAAAGTGGGTCGGAATGACGATTTCATTTCTCCGAGGTCGCCTAGAGCATCGGGCATCAATTAACAGAGAGAAGCAGGTTGTATACATCAAAAGGACCTAATAATCGTCTTCATTTATTCCACAATGCCGTGTTTCGCACAGCAGATGGGATACATTCCTCTACACTGTAAGCCCGTCGGAGCCAGCCAGTTCACGACCAAGAGACGACGTCTTCAATCTCCCTCTTGATACCATCTGATTTCTTCTCTACGAAGATTTAATCACCGTAAGTTCTTAAAAGAGACCATCTCATGTCATGACAGAGCGAATTTCAAATTCATAAGTGGTATAGGGTTTCTCATCCATGCCAAAACACCAAAATTCACCAATATATCGTACGTACACGGCTGCAAATCCCCCAAGAACAATACGCCCCAACACCAAGCCCCCAGTCCAATTGATTTTGCTTTTATTTCACCAACCCTCATGTGTCTGCGTACTCCCCATCTCCAACCCCCTGATGCTTTGACTCCAATCCTGCCAATCGAAATCATCGCCCAGCATATCCGCATCCTCCGTCACATCAAACTTTGTATTCATCGCAGTAAACGGATCACTCCACAAATATGGCGTCAAGCTATCGTCCTTGGGTGGCTGCGCCTGCAACATAAGTGCCTGCTGTCGAAGGACATCATCGCTCATCGCATTCTGGAGGGGCATAGGGGCAGACGGCGCCGGTTCCGGTGAGCCCAGATTGCCGCCATTGTTTGCAAGGTTGTCTATCCGCCAGAATTCAGCCACATTTGGGTTTGGCTGTGCCATGAGTTCGTCCATATATTGCATTGCCGCGCTAGAGAGAACAAGCTGTACGGGGATGTTGCCCGGTGGTTTCAGTGCATCGCTGTCAGAGGCAGTTGTCGCAGACGCGAGTTCCTGAGGGGGAGCAGGTTTGCGGGCAATGGAATATGATGGCATGGGACTGGATCCGTCTGGGCGAACGAGAGACCACCACTTCTCACGCATTTGTTCCATGACGTTTTCGGCGCCAGGGACGGGACCAAAACGTGCCTGTGCTGGGTTCATGCGCTCTGCAAAATCGAGCCTGCGGGCTTCGTCTTGGTTTGCTTTCAGG